GAGCATTTTCACGAGTAGCCAGTCGGTTTTGGGCAAAAATAAAGTAGATTGGGTATCCCCTGAGATTCGTGCATATTCTCATGACAAAAGTAGGCTGACAACTAAAATTCACACACTTAAATAATAAAACGAGTTCCGTTAGCGGTCGGTGAACATTCGTTAAGGAAAGCCAAGAAAATGCATGAATTTTACCAACTTCATAATAACCAAAATTTGCTGATGGGTCTAAAATATTGAAGCAACCTTCATCAGATGCTAAGCGGCAAAGAGAATGCTTGCCTACATCTAATGGAATTTGAATCGCTGAATCCAGGTCGGCTAGCTTGATAGACATGTTCATTGAAGCGTTCAAACGTCTCTGTGCGAATTCAAATGGGGACATCTTGAAAAAGAGAACACAAAAAGCGAAAGTTAGGGGGCATTTACGCGTAAGCTACGTGTTTCAGAATTCAGTACAGGCTTAAAACAGGCTAGTAGCAACTGCGGGCGTTCCCGGCGAAAGGAAAGGAAAACAGAACTATATACGTTTACTCCAAACATCTAGACGAAGCTCTCTCTCTGACTAGACAAAGGTGGAGTCAGAAACATAAACAGCGCCATCCTTGCCCACATGGTTGACTACTGATATCGTGTGGGCCCCAACAAAGCCTTCAAGGCAATTTATAAGGTCTCGCCGAACTATCCAACGTCCCTGGGTCAGCGTTTGCTAGCAACAGCAGAAGCAACCGCGATCTGGTTGAGCAAGCCGGTTTGGTGCACACAAAAGCACCTCCTGCAAGACCCGAGCTTAACATGGCCAACAGTTACATAACTGCCTGCATCTTTCCGCGCTTTCTTCCCCCTTCACCCTCACCCTGTCCGGATTCAACAAACCCTCATTGCCTCGTAACCAGCTGAATACTATCAACCCCCCTTCCCTATTCCCATGACTGATTTGCCTGCTCGGATGCTACCTTTTGCTCCCTTCCCATATCAAAGTAATGACCCGAGGAGAAGTTATCGGATGCTTATGTATGCTCGCCAAATTCTCTTCTGAATTCTCTAATGGACATTTTTGCAACTTCAAAACCATGGTGGTTGGTGGACAGATGAAGTTTTATTGTTGTCACGGTCGGTGGGGAGGGGGGGAGAAGGGAGGTGGGGGAGAGTTGGAGAAGTTGCGGCCTGACGAGAATTTATCGAAAACAAACGTATGTTCGCCAATTTATCTTCTGACATTTTCAATGGGAATTTTCGAAAACTTCAAAACCTTTTTTTGTTAACTTACTTCATTGAAAACTTTTGCGTTCGTTTGTACTAAGAATTTCGGTAGAGAGAGCCGATCTGAATGTCTAAGGATTAGTTCCTTGTTAATTTTCCTTAGGAAGGTTCTCGGAAGAAGTGAAGCGTATTCTTCAGTCAGGATTATGTCACTGGCTTCAAACAGAAAAAAACAGATAACATGTGAATGTTTTCGCCAGAAAAGACAGTAAAAATCGTAACTACCCACAAATTGAACATTTTTTGAACATTGAAGATGTAAATTAACTGCACAGAAAAGGACAAAAATTGCATTTTCAAGAAATGTTTATCCAACAGAGTGCAGAAGGAAATGGGCTTACCACCAGTGTATTTGGGCGCATTTCCGGCTGCAAACATCGGCTTGAGGTTCGCAGATAAGAAGGAGATTAAAATTGATTTAAATAAGTATATAATGTGGAGGGGTGGAACTGGTACAGTATGTCTGAATATAAGACCTAAGATCTTCTGTCAGGGTTATAACTATCCTGACTGTTTCATTAATCGGAGGCGAAGAAATCGCAAGAGCGTGTCGCTACTTGATTAGACGGCAAACAGTGTGAATGAAATACATAATTTCGATTCCTATATAATACTTGTCGCACTTACGGACGCAGTTGCAGTGAGCGAAGGCAAAGGCGCCTGCAGCCAGGGCTGCGGAGCATTTGTTTAATAAGCGTTTCCAACAAGCAAAGAGAACACAACAGTCTGTAATTACTAAACATGTGGTATACAGCGGACGTGTCGCTACTTGATGTATACTACCTTCAGTAATCAGTTCTTATGGCTCGGCATTCAAAAAAACCGTTGGCAAAAGTAGCTTATGTAGCCCCACTCATAAAGTCCTAGTCCCAGCATTTTGTCCTGCAAAAACGGTGGCTATAGAATTTCGGGGGGTGGAGAAATAGGATAGGCCTAGAAGGAAATTTTTAGAAGTGTTAAGTGAAATAAATGTAGTCGAAGTTTTTTTCCGCGGCCGCTGGGAGCAGGTTGTTCCTCATGTAAATTGAAGGTGTGCGCGGGGCTTAGCGCCGCGGACTATACTAATCGAATTCCAAAACGGTAAGTTGGACCTCAAGTAAGTTGAAGTAGACGACCTCCTAACCAACATTTCACTTTTTCGGGAAATTCAAGAAACCTGCATGATAATCAGGTTTTTCCGCAATAAGTTAAACGATAATACAGATTAGGAAAATATACAGAAATAAATCAACAACACTTCTAAATACAGTAAAAGAAAAATGCATTTAGCATTTATTGGAGTATATTCCATTGCGTGTCCTAATTCTCCGCCCATAAAACCAGATAAACACCGTTTTATGGGAAAACATGCAAGTTGTAGGGATTAATGAGTGGGGCTACATAAGCTACTGTTGCTAAAAACGTTATAGATTAGGTATGCGCGAGTACACGCAAACTCGATGGCGTGATCTGAGTTATTAGAAATAGTAATGTGCTAGTACCCTCCGCATCGGCAGGGTCGCTTGTGCTCGGTTTGTCTTTTGCTGTTATAGTAAGGAATATCTTTTACTGAGATGCTTATACTATTTTATTACGAGTAGAATTAAAAACAACTTCCATTTTTAACTATGGAATAATACTACTTTCCACAATGTAAGGATTGTTCTTTTTTCATTGAGAAATTTACGCCAAAAGGTTCTCATTACTCATATATTTTTGAGGAATAGAAGGACACTTTTTAACAGCCAGCTCCCATGATTCTTTCTATCTTCTTTCGTGAGAAAGCGTCTAAGCCGAAAGTGGTTCTGCTGCCAAGGTGCACACGTATAAAGGGTGTTTTTATATTCTGCATATTACTTAGGCCTACTTTTCCGACATACAACACCAGGATGAGCTCATCTTGAGAGATAGATCGGTGTACAAACAAATACACTTATAAATGGTCGATACGTTCACCTTAGGCTGTGGGGACTTTGTTTCGATAGCGGTGCTGAGTCATAAACATGACAGTATTTTGCATATTGCCATTCGAAGTTCAGTCTTTAGCACAACGTATAGCAGATTGGAATGGAGAGGAAGTAGACACCAATTTTTTTAATCTATTCATCCCTTATGATAGTTATGAGAAGGTCAAGCGTACCACGTATGCATTGCTGCCGGTTGGCAGCTTGTTAACGTTGTCTGATTATTCTGCTGAAGCGAGTAGATTTCAGCTCTGGCATTCACATCAAATTTTGCGCAGAGTCTGAAAGGGTATATCCTACAGGATTTACCCTAAGTTTCCGCATTAATTTCTAGGCATGAATGAGGTTACGTGATTGCAGATCTTGACCCGCCTCTGAAACACTCAATCTCCAGTGCCGCAAAATGCGCCATCACTCAACCTCTTGCAACTGCTAGCGAGTGCGCATTTGATAGCCTGCCTGGGTCAACCCGATCTGGTCAGTCACCTTCTTGTGACTGACTCGCACGGGCTCTCACTACGACGACTGCCGCACGCAGACACTTCGGACGGGGAGCTTGTGCACTCACCCGACAGTCAACTTCCTCCAATCTATTTTCCACTACTTCTGTACAAAATACATTATTTCTTCCACCTGGCGTCTCCCTTCTTCCGTTCCCACAAGAAACCGGGGCTGAAGATTGCAGCTGCAAGGGTTATATTTATTAACCTAGGTCAGTGTGATATACATATATATTTTTAGTAAATATTACCGTAAGACAGAGAACCTAGAATTGCCATTTCTGCCTCATTAGGCGTCGTCAGCTGGATATACTCTACTCAAGTGTAGCAGCTAAAATTGCCGCCACTCTCGAGTTTCGAACCCGCGTTCGCCTCTGACCGGAGAGACGCGGGTTCGAAACTCGAGAGTGGCGGCAATTTCCGCTGCTTCACTTGCGTGGAGTATATCCAGCTGACGACGATTAATGAGGCAGAAATGACTATTCTGGATTCTCTGTCTTACGGTAATATGTCCTAAAAATAACAGAAATGTTACTGCAACTTAGTAAGTAACATTTAAATTAGCTATATGTCAACGTTCGGGGCGTCCCGAAAACAATGGAGATCACAAACCAGGTCGGGTGTACCCTGTATCTAATCGGAGTACGCTTATCTACTAGTATATGTAGTATTTGTTTGTAGACTGACCTGTCTCTCAGGATGTACCCATCCTGGATTGAAGCTTTGCGAAATCGGGCCAACCGATAGTGTTCGCAAGGCTACTAATAACTGATATGTTACTAGCTAAGTATCAGTAACACATCTTTTTATATTAGTTTTCCGGCATAGACAAGGCACCGCAGTATAGCTATTTCGGGCTGTTGGCCCTCATCCACTACGGGCAGCCAACTCTAGTGTAGCCGCTGAAATTGCCGCCACACCCGAGTTTCCAACTCGCGCCTCGCCGTTCGGGGGCAGACGTCCTAGCCATTGAGCCATGGAGTTCGCTGTCTTGCCGGTTGTTGATCGGGAGTATATAGTATATGTTTGTACACTGATCTGTCTCTCAGGATGTACCCACCCTGGATTTATGCTTTGCGAAATAGGGCCAACCGATTGTGTTTTCGCAAGGCTACTAATAATTGATATGTTACTAGCTAAGTGTCAGTGGTATATATATATATATATACCTGGGGGGAGGAACGCAGCCGGACCAGTTGATGTGCGTGTCATGAGCGCCATAAAATCGGTCAAGCATGTGTCAGGACTTTTAACTACTACCCCCTACCATTAATACAATGAAGCAATCGACATGTATTTACAAGGGTTGATATGCCAAGAATGTGAAGAGGGAAAAGGTACCCACCGTGTAACGATCCTCAAGGTCCGTGTGTTTCTAGAAGTGAAAGAAAAACGGAAATGGGAGAGGGAGCTTGAAGCAGCGCAAAACTTGACCAAATCAATAACTTCGGCAGAAGTTCAATTATACGAATGTCCGGGATTGCTTTGCAGGCGGATAACATTTTTTTGGTTTAGTGCTAAATTATCGGATCGCCCTCGTGCACAGCACATCAGTGCCACAGATTATTGCACGAGAAGGGGTCGGCCAGTCGGAATATCAGACTGTCCGCACCCTACATATTTCAATGCCGTTATCTGAAAAGGCATAGTTAAGTTCAAGCAAAATCCCGCCCTTCTGACCCCAGACAACAGAACGTGGCTGACGCCGTTGGTTTGCCAATTTACACTTAATCTACCCCAAACAGACATGATTGACGCTGCGCAAGAACCACAGTATACCGCAAATATCAGGAAGAACACCATATGCTTTCAGAGGGCAGTGAAATTACGCAGTCCATGGTTGTATAAAATTTTCTGAAAAAATTCTGTCCCTATAAATGTGTGATAAGAATAAGTAGCAGTATATTATAGGGCTCACTAAAAAATCAAAAAGCCTAGAATTGTGTAATACGGGACTATACATAACGGTAATTTATTTTTAAATTTGTTGCTTCATTAATTTGTTAAGTTTATTTAATGAAATTCATTTAATTTATTATGGTTTTTAAAATTTATTTAAATTTATCGTGGTTTCTTTGTTTATGTTTTAGCTTTTTATAATAATTATACCTAGTACAACCTGTTCTTATTTGATATATTTCTTTTATTTTCTCTCCTGTTCTCTTGTATTGCCCCACGCGTATAATCCCTTTTATCACCGGTCCGGCCTTACCGAATTCTAGCGGTTTGATTTCCGTGGTGAGCCCTGTGCTAAATTGTTACCCAAGAATATCCTTTTGCTCAACATTTTAATGAAAACGCATATTTTGATGCATTGATGATATTGACGGAAAAAGACAAGGGAGACTGGAATGGCTATTCCTGGCTTATTAGTCGCTGTCAGCCAATTTGAGTCTCGGGTGGTGCATCAATTGAATCTGGGTAAGACTAGTTGACGACGGCTAATAAGCCAAAGATAGCTATTCCAATCTCCATTTTCGTTGCCAGCAATACCACCAGTGAGAGCATTATCACCCTGTTTAAGTTCGCGTCCATGACGTCGTCAATAAATTCGAACGTATCTGGATAGTAACGAGGTGCCAGCTGATGCTGTAAGGGTTTGAATTCCCTGCTAAGCACTTTGCTACCGCATGATACGGCGAGTTGCGCATGTCCGAATCGGACGAACTGGCAGGCCAGATCTTTTGTTTTTTCCTCTTCTTATATGGTTGCACATGGGCTGCAAGCTATTTTAGAACAGCCATTCTTGATCACACACGTTTCTTTGAGCATATTTAAGTGAAAACTTTGCTTAAAAACCACTTTTCAAACTTAATTCTACATGCACTGATTTATTTGCTCGAGCTTGTTTGGCATGGACGGGCTTTCTATAGATTAAAGGGTTACACAGTTACAGCGATCTTTGACGTTTTATTAATTATCGACCTTTTTAAAAAGGCAGTTCATATTTCTAAGCAACCTGATGCTAATTCTTATAGTTCTTTTACCTTTCAAGTTAGCTTCTACTCGTCCGCTATTTGTTCAAAGCTTTGGTGGATTTGTGTTGCCGGTTTGCAAGTCAATAGCAGACTGTTGCGCTTAGAGATGTAACTAGCATCCAAATTATATGCAGCACTTACGTGTAATTCGTACGTAAATGGCGGCGGGTCTAAATTGAACCATCTTAGCATCTCGGAGATTGCTGAGGCCTGATTGTAGGCATACTGCCGATCCTCCTTCTTGAAGTCATTCTTGTTGTAAACCACCAAAATGAGGTCGCAAATGTTCTGCAGACCTGCACTTACAACCTTAGTTCGGAGATCGGGGGTCATGGCGCCAGCGCTGAAGACGATCATTTTGGGCAGTATTTATAACAGGCAAGTATGTACCCATGATCGTAAAAAAAGCAAAGTGAAAAGAGACCAAAGAACTAGGCTATAAATTATTTACAACTGTGTCATTAGAGGAAACAATTGATGTCATATGCACCCATACGTCAGAAGCTCGTCTGCCGCCTGAAATACTACCGGAATTTCTGACACTTTGTACGTACAATGTTCAACTCCTCTCCACAGACAGTCTTCAACTCCTGTACAGACAAATTGATGGAGTTGCAATGGGGAGTCCACTCGGGCCTACCTTCGCCGCAATTTTTGTGGGTCACTTAGAAGAAAAGGTGTCGTCGAAACGTTATAAGACAACAATATACAGACAATACGTGGATGATACATTCACTATTCTTGATACCAAAAAGACGCCAAAAATCTTATTTTTTATGAATAAATATCCGAAGATTAAGTCTAGGATAGAGTTGGTGCGGAAAAACAAGTTGTCATTCATAGACGTCCTTCTTTTCAGAGAGGATAATGGTTCAGTAAGGCGCACTGTTTGCCACAGGACTGACTGGAAAGACTATTTCCTACATTTTACCAGCTTCGTGCCAACACGCGAGAAACGAAATCTGGTAATTACGTTTTACCAGAGAGTTAAGAATATTTGCTCCAGTGAGACCCTACCTGCAGAGATTGCCTGCATAAAAGAGGCCCTACTTAAACATGGCTCCCCCTCACGTTTCACTTAGAAATACAGAAGCTCTTTACGGCCATATGTCAACCAGCCGATAAAAAGGGCCATGAAGAAGAAACAAAGGTTGTGGAAATAGTACGAGCACCTTCAAGATTCAACATCACTTGCCGAATATAAAGCGCAACG